ATGACTTGGTGTTGATACAGAGTCATATGGGAAGACCAAAAAAATGCAAGTCTTACTATATCCATTACTGAGAACTATTTAACGAATATATATTTACAAACAAAATCCTAACAAATATCAGAGGCTGAGATTTCCAGCCTGTGTAACTATTTTGGATTATTCATGTGAGCTGTGGGAAATACTATATTGTGTTTGTCTTGTAATTAAATAGAAGACAAATACTTTCTTTTCATATGTTATATTTATTTGCCTTTTTAATAAATTTATAGAACTTTCAGGTCTGTAGGATGTGTTCTTATATTGCCTGCATCTTTATAGAACAGTGTTGTGTTACTTAGAATGCTTTAAAAATTTGAGAAATAAGTTAATTAGTCACAGTGGATTTGTTAGAGGTGAGTGTTCCCTGGACAGAACATCAACTAACATCAGAACTACTGATTTTATATTTTTAAATTAGGAATTTTTAAATTTAACATGCCCATGGATTTAAAGAAATGGAGCTCTAAAGTGGCGTGTCTGGTGTAGTGGGTCTTTCTGGTATAAGTTATGGACAGACGTGATAGAAAAGATGATTGGTGAAATGGAGCTCAAAAGTGGCATGTCTGGTGTTGTGGGTCTTTCTGGTATAAGTTACGGACAGACGTGATAGAAAAGATGATTGGAAGCAGTCACCATAGATTTACTTAGTGTAAGTCATGCCTGACCAGCCCAATTGGTTTCTCTGAAAAACTGACTGGATTTGAGGACGGGAGAATGGCAGTTCATGTAATTTACTTTGATTTTGGCAAGGCCTTACTCCCACAGTATTTTTTATCCACTTTAGGACAATGTGGTCTGGTTGGGTCAAGAGCTCAATGGGTAGAAAGCTGGGTTTATGATCAGACTCAGAGGGTAGTGATTAAAGGACATACTTTACCTGGAACATCCTGGGACCTGTCCTGCTTAATGTCTTTATCAGTAACCTGGTGGAAATAACAGAGAACGCTCTACTCAAATTCGCAGATGACACCAGATTAGGGTGACCAGTTGATACTCTTGAAGTCAGGGCTGCCATCCATAGAGACCTAGACAGGCTGTGGGAATGTGTCAGCAGAGGAACCTTAGGAAATTCAAGGAGGACAGATACCAGGTCCCGCATCTGGCAAGGAATAAGCCCATGCAGTGACTCAGACTGGTGCCTGACTGGCTGAGAGCAGCTCTGCAGCAAGGGACATGGGGCCTTGGCAGGCACAAAGTGGGCATGAGCCAGCACTGTGCCCTTACTGCAGGGACAGCTAGCTGCACCCTAGGCTGTGTCAACAGGGGCACAGCCAGGGCAGCAGGGGAAGTAGTTATCCATCTCTACCCAGTACTTGTTTAATCGCATGTCAATTACTGTGCCCATTTTTGTACACACCTTTCACTCAATACAGGAGAGACATCAACAAACCATATCACGTTCAGTGAAGGGGGCACCGAAGATGGGCAAGGGGCTAAAAATATGAGTTCTATGAGGAGAGCCTGAGAGAATTCAGTGAAGGGGGCACTGAAGATGGGCAAGGGGCTAAAAACATGAGTTCTATGAGGAGAGCCTGAGAGAATGGAGTTTCTGGAGCAGGCTTTGGGTGCACCTAATGATGTCTTTTCTGGTGCCCAAGAGGATGTTACTGAGAAGAGTTTTCACAGTGTTGCATGGTAAAAGGACAGGAGGGAGGCAAAGGTTGAAACAGGCCAAGTGTAGACCTCATACAGAAAAAACTTTTTTACTACATAGAGACTCAGGCTGTGGAAGCAGGTGCTCAGAGACGTGCTGTAGTTTCCATCCTTGGACATTTTCAAGACATGAAACATGGCAAGTTTAAACTCTGGGCACTCTGGTATAGTTTCCACCCTTGGACATTTTCAAGACATGAAATGCGGCAAGTTTAAACTCTGGGCACTCTGGTCTGAAGCTTACCCTGCTCTGAACATGAGGTAGGACTAGGTGTTCTTCTGATGTCACTTCTAACCTAAATATTCAGAGTTTTCTTATATACTCATTCAAGAATTACTCCATTCATCCTTGTCGGCTCTTTGACTGGATGAGTATATTTCAGAAAAAAATGACAAATGTGTATTTGATATATATATATATATGCATCCATATACATATATATATGAGGAATTTGAGATACATTAATCAAAGTTTTTTGGAGTTTACAAGTGAAAGTGGTGTTGATGATGTGAAATAGACAAGTTAGTTATGGTTATTTCAGTCTGTTGGTAAGAGTGGTTACTAACCTACTGTTCCATCGCCAAAGATCTCTTTGCTGTATTCTATATTCTTACATGGAATACTCAAAGGCAGGGTAGATTTTCTTAAAAAGGAGAACAAGGTGGGAAGCTAGAGTCTAACACAGTATCAAGCAGTGGGCTAATGTGCCAAGAGCTCAGACTTTGAACACCAATGGCTGTCCTTGGGTCCCTGCACAGTTATTTGTTTCGACATTATTCTTTCTGAAAGCATTCTTTTCCTCGCTGGATTGTCATCCATCATCTTTAAATGGTCTTAAAATGCTTTCTGTATTTCCTATTTATATCCATTGTGTTTTTAATTAGCTGAAGCTTAAACCAGTTAAAATTTCAGATGACTTTCGGTTCACCTTGCTGCAATCTGAGCCCAACTCATTGTTAGGAAAGCTGGCATGGGAAGACAAATATTCCCTGAAGTAGAGTCAGATGTGATACTTTTCAGTGCTTTCCATGGAAGAAAAATGCTACCCTGAGTTACTAAGATTTTGATGGAATTTAATAAGATTCACTAGGTTTAAAACTCAATTCAGGTATATAGAATTCCTAATACACCTGCTAAGACATCAAGTAAACCTAACACAAGTGCTGGTGTGCATGAACAGCATTTTTTGTTCTGCTTCCTTAGAGGATGTTGAGCACTTTTCCCTTAATGTGCCCATTTCATTTAGGCTGGGCTTCTTGTGTTTCTCACAAGTCGTCAGTGTTGAATACGCCCATCAATGTAACATCTCAGTTAAAAATATTGCTAGAACACAGCACTGAAAATTAAAGGTGTTACAATTATAACTTAGCCTTAGTGCAAACAAAGTCTTGCTTCATGAAACATTTCAGAATGAATGATGGTTTAAATTCCATATCTTTTTACAACGGCAGACAAAGTAAGACCTTCCATTGTTAAACTAGACTGAAGATTGGTAACTAAACCCAGCTGACTTCACATAGGTATGACAGCAAATGAGCTCAGCATAATCTTATTTCAGAGCACCATTTGGACCTAAGGTGTATGTGCTCTTCCTCTTTCTTTTCATGTAACTGATGCTCTATGTCCATGGTGCAAGGAAGAGGTGTATGTACTTGATCACTTTGTGAACAGAAAGGAGCATGTTTACATAGTTCCTGTTAACATGCACATTCCTTTCCTCTGTAGGAAAAGAGTATAAAACCCATGATTATAGTAACAATATATGAGACAGTTCTTAGACATTCAGTTTTCTGAAAGCTGAGAAAAGACTCAAGCGATTAAATTAGAGAAGTGCTTTTCAGTACTTTAATCATGGTCACCATCTAGAAATGTCCTTTTATAGGTAACGAAAGATCCAATTTTTTCCTCTACAAGATAGTAATTAGCTTTAGACATTCTTCTGTAAAGGAAAGCATTGATAATACTAAGAGTTTAAATAGTTTATCATAACTGACCAGAAATTGTCCATTAAAACAGGATGTGGGGATAGTGGAGACCACTGATGCCCAGTTGAGGAGGCGGTGAGACAGGTGCTCTTCTGTCACCCTTATCTGTGGCAGGAGGTTTGTGTCAGTGACCTGTGGCTCCAGTTCCTTGGCCTTTTGAGAGACTAGTGAAGACTTAATCAGGTGGTATTGCATGGGGAGGCAATATTAAGGCAAGACCTCAGAGAATTTCTTTACCCCTACTGTGAATTTTACTTGAGCTGCTATTTTGTCCAGTCTTTTCGTAATTCAGGCAATAGCTAAGGGAAACCCTTTTCCATACCTTCTGAAGGAACAGAGGAAGCAAGGAAAAACTCGAGTTAATAGAGAAAGCATCAGACTAGCAGCTGGGAGCCGATAGATGTTTTTATAGGGAGGTTAAGGGGCCTACATACTATGAATTGTGAAGGTGTGACAGGAGATCTCAAAACTGATATAATTAGGAACAGTTTAGCTATCTGTAAAATTTGTTTACAGTTGCTATCTGAGCCATCTGTTGTCTTTCCTTGCGTTGTAGTCAGTTGGGGTAGATGATATTCTGTAATAGATGAAAGGTTTTTTAAAGTATGGTTTATGTCTCTGTATGTACATTTATATAGTACATCTTTTAACAAGACCTAGATCCCATCGGTGCTATTTGGGGATGCCACTGTAGTAACAATGATATATTACATGCTGTTATTGCTGTGTTTGCAAAGCATTTCCAGTTGAAGTCGTTATGCAAATGAAAGTTGCCTCCTTTCTCCATCTGGTTGTTTGCATACAGGCTATGGCATGCTTTTCAGTGAAATAGCTTTTGGTGTTATATTTTAAGGTTTTGTCTTTAATGTTGTCAGGAGTGGGGGAGGACTTCCGTCATATGGAGTCATAATGTCCCATGACAGGAAATGCCACCAGTGTTTGGACTTCTTGAATATACAACTCTCTGCTTTAGAATTTGGGCTGATGGGTACTTGACCACAAAAGCGTTATGTTCTACTCTCACTTACTGGTTAGGGCATGGAGACTACTGTGTAATGTCAGGAATCACAGATGCTTTCTAGGGGATCAAGTAGTATATTTGTCTAGAATAGGTGCTCAGCTCATGATGGAATATTGCAGTGTTTTGTGGAGTGATGGAAAGAAAAACATGCCAGAGACGACTGGATCCATTTTTTGAGCTCCCTACTGTTCCATAGTATTGTTTTCCTCAGGTCTGGGAGACCAGAGGCAGCTTTTTCCCCTGTGTCTTAGCAAGAATGTCACCATGTAGGCCCTCCACTCTGACATGTCACAGGGGCCACATGATGACCAGAAGGCGTGGAGAATCCACTGTCATTTTTGACAATGAAAGGTAAATTCCATTCTGTGCAGGCATTAACATCAGTTAAAAAAGCAAAATCTTCATTAGGACTCCACGGAATTAAGAGTAACCAAGATTTAATGCACCATTACGGATGTCTTTATTTCGCTGCAGTTTTTAGCAGGATTTGTCAGTCTCATACGTACCCATGACCAATCTGTTTGAGGGCCCATTCTAAGTGTGTACTTAAGAGTTTAAATAATAGTTATTTCACAACATAGTATTCACTTCAGAGTAATTACATCTTTTAATTTCATTTTTACAGAGTATTAGGAGTTTAACATCTGTGGAGGAATATCTTCAGTTTGGATATGCTGCTCACGGTTTTCCTTTGATACAAAGAACATGACTATCGATGAAATAATGCTGAATCAGAGGTTAGGTGGTCTCCTCTGAACAAAATACCAAGCAAAACATTTCTGCCAGCATTAATAACTATTTGCTGTAGTGCAAATAGTAGAAGCTAACCCAGTAGGATTTTGTCATCCAACCTTAATGTCTCTAATGTCTCTAATGACAAGTCCCAGCATCTGTGATCAGCACTTAAAGCAAAGATGAAACAAACCTTTCTGCTGTTTCAGCTAGATATGTATTACCTTCCTCTAGGATCATAGCATGTGATTTTCCTTAGAAATGGGACTTTCAATGCAATGCAAGCTTAATCTGATTGTGGGGCCCAATCACAGCAAGTTTCAAAAGCTGGTGGATACTGTGGACTCAGTATCAAAATGCATTTCTTTTCTCAGAGAGGGCTTGGACTTTTCGCCCCCTACTTGTGGACTTCTGTAGATAATGATCACCTGTTAAACATCGTGTATTTCTAAGAACTCTACAGAATTAATTTAGTTTATGAACCCTAAGATACAAACCAGGGAAGACATACAAGGCAGGTACTAAAAAGGACTTGTTATTGTAGCTAGCTAACAGCTCCAGACCTGTTTGTCAGATAGTGGCATTTTGTAATTCACGTCCTACTCCACTAGCACAGTAGATGATGTTGAAGTGGATCACACAGTTCTGGCATAAAAATTTGACCATTGTTTAGAAAAACCATGTTGGGTTCTTTCCAATTGGAACAACATGGGACAGAGGCTAGAGAGAGAAACTTTCAAAATAAAGTTGAATTGTACTATTGTGATATTTCATCATAGTTTACATGTTTGAAACACTTTGTTAGCTTCTATTATTATATAAATGTTAGCATATAAATCATATCAATATTTCATAAGGAAATAATTATTTAAGTGGTAAATATGATAAACAGGAGTAACAGTCTTCCATTTTAAAAGTCAATTTAAAGATGAACAGTATTAAATATAAATTTTGTATTGGAGTATGGGTGTATATCTCTACAGCCCATATTTTAGCCTTAGGGACTGAAAACCTGTAGCTCTATCATGTGAAACCTCTGAATAACCTTCTGGTTACATGAAAAAAAAAAGGAATGATAAATAGTAATCAATTCACATTGTTTATTTGAGTTAATATTTAATGTGCATTATGAGTTTCTAAATTAAACTACTTGCAATAATTCATTATGGAAAGATAATTGGGTTTATAATTTCATTATGTCCTGTGTGTTCATGCTGGCACTGATCAAAGAAAAAGTGTAATAGAAATTTTGCCATAATTTGGAACAAAAGTTAGCGTTGATATTTTTTTTCCCCTCAAACATCATAAGCAGAGCTTGTTTTATGCATACTTAAGAAGTTAAATATTCTTAATGAAAGACATGGGCATACATCTTGTTTTTCTTCCCATTTATATGAGAATAGGCAAATATTAATCACTGCTGAAATTTTTTTAAGAGGTCAGGGAATCCTTAAGAGAGAAATGCTTGTTATGGCAAGAAGACTTTCTTAACTACTTAGTGTTTTCATTTGCCATTCTAATCCCATTTAGCAAGTCACTTTAGTGGTATGAGTAGTTCCAATTACACAGAGTTTGTGAGTGGTTTTATGGTTTAAGTTGGTTGGATTGTTAAGATTAATTTTAGTATGAAGAAGCAGTTTGTGTTGCTTAGCCTGTTGCTAAACTATAAACAGAAATTTTAATTAAATCTTTGCCTGTTCAATCATCATATGATGGCACAAGAAATACACTTTTTAAGGTAAAATATTTGAGGTGTGAAGTATTTGGTGTTCCTTTCTCATGTGAAAAGTCCTTTCTTACACAACTAGTCATTATCAGTTCCAGATATTATTGTTCTGCAAAGACTTATTAATGCTAATACGAATTTTGGAATTGGTGCATTTATTTCTCTGAAATTAAGGGTAAGTTGAACACATTTGATGAATTTTATTTCTGTAGCACTGCTGGCCAAGAAAATAGAAGCATACATGTGATATGATTAGATAGGCCATCTACAGTAAGAAAATCTTTTGTTCTTTCTCACAAAAACAAAAAGAAAAAATGTTCTTTTGTATCTGTTCTATTAAGCAGAAAAAATGGCATTATTCCCACTGTGTTTATCTCTAAAGGACGATGAGCTGAATTGGTTACTTGGATGTTGCATAACTTCTAAGTTATGCACCATGATGGAAAGAAATCAGTGTTTTCTATGTCATGAAGTAAACATTGTTAAATTCCTGAATCATTAAACTGGAAACAACTTATTACTGTTTTAATAAATCTGCAGTGTATGAGCCCTTAGACTGTAATACAATGTTAATTCTAACTAACTAGGAAAACATGTTATCCACATAGAAGATGGTTAATGCACTGACGGTGGTTTTTATTGTTGTGGTTTGGTCATTGTGTTGTTGGGCTTTTTGATTACCAGGTTAGTGCTTCCTTGAAAAGAGCTAGTTGGAATTGTAGACTTTTTCACCTGGAAACGTCTTAGGGAGTCCTAATCTAACTGTTTTCTCAGTACAAGGTCTACACCAAGTTTAGACCACGTTGCTCAAGGCTTTGTCCACATGTGCCTTGAGAACCTCCAAGGATAGTGTTTTATGCACTTTCTCCAGGCAATGTTTTACGGTGATTAATTTTCCTGATTTTGAACATTCTTTTTTGTCCACTGCCTCATCCATGGATTTTTGTAAAGAGCCTAGGTCAGCCTTCTCTTTGATAAAGGAAAGTTGTTGTTAGGTCCAGCACCCATCCTGAGCCATCTTTTCTTCAAGTTACAGAAACTCAGTTCTCTCAGCCTCTCCTCAAACACTGTGGCAGCTCTTTACCTTGTGTCAGTGGCTCTCCACTGAGCTCCTCCTGGTTTATTAACATCTTATATTGTTGTGGCCAAAACCTGTATGCAACATTCTAAATGCAGTCCAATGAGTGCAATACCTTTTTATTGCTGCACTGGTTACATTCCTGTTAATACTGCCCAGGGTATTGTTAGGCTTAACTACTGTGTGAGCACAATGCTGTCTTATGCTCAGTTTCCTGTCCACCAGGAGCCTCAAGTTCCTCCCCACAGTGCTGGTCCCCAGTTATTGCCCACCCTGTGCCACTGCAGGTGTTTATTCCTAGAAGCAGAGCTTTGCATTTGTCCATTTTGTATGTCATGAGGTTTCTGCTAGTGCATTCCTCCAGTCTATCGCTGTCCCTCTGGGTGGCACACCTGCCCTCAAGTTTGTCCATGCCCCTCTCAAAGCTGGCCCCAGACAGGATAAGAGGCAGCAGACAGTAGTTGGAACACAGGAATTGTGGAGTAAATGCAAATATTTATCTTTCTGTCAGGCAGTTCAAATATTTAAGGACGTCTGCAGAATCTGTGAAATCTCTATCCCTGGAGATAGCCAGAACTCAGCTGGTTAAGGTCTTGTGGAGCCTAGTCTAAATAGACTTACTTTGAGTGAGGAGAGAACTAAATGACTTCCCAGGGTTCCCTCCAACTTTAAGTTTTGTGTGTTTCTATGACTGTTCTTGCTAATTTAATATAGTCCATAAACTTGATGAGGATACATTTTGCTTTCTCCTCCGTGTATTTATAAAGATATAAAAGATGATAGGTCACAGAATAGACCCCTGAGAAGCTCTCCTTGTAACAAGCTTTCAGATTGAGTACAAATTAAGTCTGCTTAGCTAGGTAATGTCCCTGCTTGGATATAAGGATGCTGTGGGACACTATGTCAAAGCCTTGCTGAAATCGTGGTGAATGATATTCATGGCTCTCTTCATTCACAGATCTACTTATTTCATTACAGAAGGTAATGTGTTTGTCAAACATGATTACCCTTGGCTCCTTACTTCCAATAAACTGCTAATTCATGTGCCTAGAAGTGGTTTTCAAGACAACTTAGTCTGTGACTTTTCCAGGTGCCAGAGAAAGGCTTGCTAGCCAGTAGTGCTCTGATTTGTATTTGCCATTTTTAAAATACCAGCGTGGGTTTTTTTTCTCCTGTTATTGAGGACCTTAGCCAATCTCCATGCCATGCCAAAGAGCAGACTTTCAGTGTCACCAGCAAGCTCTCTCAGCACCATCACACTCATCCTCTCTAGTCCCATGAACCCCTATGGGTTTAAATTTGTCAAGTCTTTTTCTATTTCAAACTATTTGTTGCTAGTTTCTCTCCTCCTTGAACCCTTGCTCCAGACTTAGAACCATGGGAGACCTTACTGGTGAAAACTAAGACTAAGAAGGCATCAGGTATCTCAGTTTGCCTGTGCCTGTGAATAGTGATTTAGTAATGCTTTTGTGTTTTCCTTGTTTATCCTTTTATTGTTAATGTAGCAAGAAGAGCTGTTCTCATTGCCTTTGACATTGCTTGCACATCTCAATTCAAGCTCATTTTTAGCTTTCCTAATGGCACCCATGCAGTATTTCTGCATTCCTACTTCCACAGTCTGTCCTCACATCTCAGGTACCCATCCTTGCTACACTGGAGCTCAGTGGTGGGTGAGTTCCTCAAACTTTTTACTTGATACACTAACATAAATAATCTTGGCTTGTGGTCTGTTCAGTATTAAACTTGAGGGTTTTTTCTTATTGTTGCAACCTTTGTCCTGTCACAAAAGCTAAAGATAAAATGCTCATAATGAAT